ATAACTATTGTGACTGTTGCAGCATGCCCATGGTCAAAAATCAGATGCTTGGCAACTGGTTCATATTTATGATGGTTGTAATGTCCCAGGGTCATGTGACTACCTTTTGAGACCTTCTGACGAGCAAAGTCAATGGAGAAGCCAAATTCACTTAGTAACCATGTCACTAATTTAACAAGTGCAGTGATGCACTTAACAGCAGTAGCAAGAAAATTCATAAAATGGGACAGAAATTGTTATCTTCAATAGCCATATGCACAAGAAAGGAAAGGAATTGTTAACTTGGGATACTTGGAGAGAGGGGGAGAACAGAGAGACCAAATAGATCTTCAAAGTAATGACAAGATAACAAGGCTTTCATTTTTACACTTTATTAACCAACAGGGAAGCTCCACAGTTTAAGTCTATTTACACTTGAGGGTAAATCCTAGTGAAGTTGATGCGTTATAAGGAAAGCAAATGATTTTTGGCTTTCCATGACTCATTTATCAATTGAAATGAAAAATATTTTTGACATTTTAAAGTTTTTTAAAATATTTAAACATGTTAAATAGTAGGAAAAAATATTTTGTCATGAGAACTTCCATTTGGAATATCACATATGCTAACAGTGCAAAAATACAGAGTTATTCCTTCTTACCATGCAAAGGATTCTTTCCTTTCCCCATACTTTTTTATTTAAAAGTATGCTGCTACTGTAGCAATTTTTCTTTGAAAACAAGATTTTTCTTTTTAATTTTACTTAAAAACACACTACTAAAATGCAGCAGAGCTGGTATATTCAGCAATATCAAACCAAATTTCTCAATTTAAAGAACAGAATGAGAAAGAGAAGATTTTTGGACTGAAAACTGGAAATTCAGAAAAATGTTTGATATAAAACAGGGCTGGATTAATCCCACATAAAATTGGTCACATTATAGCGAAATCGATACAAGCCAATGAAAAGTAAATTATCTTTGGGGAAAACTGTACCCAGATGTGTGTATATAGTAAAGGAGTACATTAGATTTCAAAGAAGTGGGCATCCCACAAAGCAATAGGAAGCTCTCACAAATTTCTAATTTTTGCTTAACGCATTAAAGTCTGTGTAACAGAAACAATGAAGTAAAACGAAAGTATAAGTGTTTTCTACAAATTATTTTAGCACACAGTGACATCTGCTCGCTTTACTTTTCACCACTGTATATTTGATAATTAAGATAAAGAGCACAGGATATTCTGTGAAGTGGGATGCATAATGAACCATGCATATTGTATCACTTCAAATGTGGAAAAAATTCTGATAGATTAAAAGCAAAAGTATTTCTCTAACGCAAACAAAAATAAGACTGAAAATTATATGCAGACTTATTCCTGATGATACCTTATAAAAATGAAATAGATTCTGCTAAGAAACAATGGAGCGGCATTGGCATACTTACCAAAGCATTACTTGGGCTGACTATTAAATTCCAGCTAACTGGCTGCAAGGATTTCACAGTACTGGCAAGGAGAGGCTCTTGATAAATTGGAAATCCACAGGATACCAACAACATGATTCTATAGATACATGATTCATTGTACAAAAGTATATTGTTTTGGCTACCATGTAATTCATATAGGAATGAGTGAGGAGGAAGAAGAAAAAGTGACATTATCCGCACATTACCCAGCACAGTATATTTGTTCCAAGGCTGTTGGAAAAGATGTGTTCCTGCTCTCCTACTAGATGAGTTACTACAACAATTTTAGCTTTAGAAATATCTTAGTCTTTAGAAGGTTATGAAAGTTCTAGAAAAGACTGCATATAGCTTGAAGGATATCCTATGCTCAGGTATCCTATTTAAATAGTGCAAATAACGTACTAGCCATGACGCATTAATTCCCTCTCAACTACGAATTGTAAATACTGCAGGCAAAAAGTCCTAGCACATCTGATTGACATTAAATGAGATGATGACTCATATTGAACTGCACACATTGTAGACGCCGGCTTAAATTAATTACACTCTGAAAGCAAGAATGTATTGATAATGAATTGATTCAGGAATTAGAAATAAATGACAATACCTATTTTAAAGATATTTTTCTATTTTTCCTACCTTGTTTTCTACTAAAACAATAGCTTGCCCTCTCAACTTTATTAACTAAAGCATCAGTAAATTTTTGTACATAGTAATTTAATTCTTGTTCAGGTAAACATATTAATTTAAAGGTTTAATTCTATTCACGTTAAAATATTTCCTAAATTAATCTGGAAAATTAATCAATTTTAATAATTAAAGTATTATTTAAATGCAGAGACTGCTATCTTATGTATTGTATATCTGCATTGCATAATATTAAATCAAAGACATCAAATTTTCCCTAAAAAAGTTTCTCAAAATATATTTAATTATTTTATACATTCCTGCTAGTAGACATTATTTTTTTATAAATTACTGAGCAAGAAAAAATAAAGTTGAGGCTTAGTCCTTGCTATAACCATCACACATTTACACTTAAAACTTTTCCAGATCATTCAGAGGAATATGGACCAAATCATGCTGCAGAACACTTAAGACACAAAGATAATTTCTGAATCATATGAATATACTTGGTACATTTCTGTATATGCAAAAAGCATGCAGATTCTTCATTGTTAAGATCAATTTTATCTGTTGGTATCCCAATATATGTGGCAATTGTTTTTTTCACCTCAATGGATATACAAAGGGAAATTAATCTCCACCAGTATCAGCTTAATGGACATTGCTGAATTGGAATATACTTATAATTTACTGAGGGAGCCACAGCAACAGTGCAACACATTCTTATCTCCACCTGGGATTTACTGAACATAACATTGAGCTGATGTCCAATATAAGCCACTATTTTCTCTACAACTATTATGAGGCAGACACAAGGGCCACTATGAAAATATATAGGCCCGGGCAGGAGTGTCAAACTGGCAACGCACAGACTGGATGCATCACACCTAAGCTGCACCCACCCTGGCTCTGTAAAGGGAAAAAATGTCACATGACATCACGTGACGCAATCGAGTTTGATACCCATGATATAGGGGGAAAGCTGAAGATACAAAGGCAACTTAAGATAGTCAGCCCAGCATAGTTGTATAACTATGGCTTACATATGAGGAAGTAAATGAGTTTGCTTTCTTTTAATTTATATTTGATTACAGTTTTGATGGGGGACCTGGATCAAGAACGATGAAAATTGCCATTAGATAGAACACTTACTTGGCATAAAACACAACTAATGCATCATGTCATTTCAGTTCCAGCTCCATCACAGCACTATTAAACCCTGAAGACTTAAAATATTTAAGTGGAGTTAAGATTTCATATTGTTAGAACTGTAGAAGCTTGCCTTTTATTTCCTAAAAAGCAAATACAGGTAATCATGGACAATTGAGCCCAAAGTTTTTGTTAAGTGAGACATTTGTTAAGTGAGTTTTGTCCCATTTTACCTTTATTGCCAGTTGTTAAGTGAATCACTGCAGTTATTAAAATGGTAATAAATAAATCTGATTTTCCCATTGACTTTGCTTGTCAGGTGGTTGCAAAAAGTGATCACAGGACTCAGGGATACAACCACGGTCATAATTGTGAATCAATTTCCAAGCATCTGAATTTTGATTGACCATATGAATGCTCAATATTTGTAAGTGTGAAAAATGGTCATGTCACTTTTTCAGTGCCATTGAACCTTTGAACCATCACTAAATTGTGTATATGAATGAACCCCGCTTCAGCTCAGTAGGACTAATTTGCAAATCTAAACAAATTAAACCTATACTAGCAAGCAAACTTACTAGCAGATTGGAGGTTGTTAAAGTATCCCTTAAAACTTACTTGAGAATGGCAAAATAAACTATAACCATATTATAGTTGCCTAACATATGCCGTTTTAATTTTTGTCTAGCATATAATATGAAGTTTAATAATAAACATGAACTTTCATATCCCTGAAAACCATTCATGAACCCAACTCTGACACCTTGGATCCAAAACCCAGCCTATTCCTATCCGAACCTTGATGTACTTACTTATGTAGAGTGGCATTATGAAAGAATGCATATTTTTTTCCTAGAGCTCCAAAACATTTGAAGCATCTATTGATTATAGTAGAAAAACTAAAAGATTTAAGTGACTGAAATATGGTGTAAAAGTTTGGATTTTAACATTGCTTTACTTTCTAAGATTTCAATAATCTTAAAGCATAGTAATTTTTCCTCAATTCTCTTCCAACACAAGTGCTTGTAGCACTAAATTCCAAATCACTACTGATGCTTCTCACTTAACTGACTTTTGTTGGATCTATTATTATTGTTCCTTGTCTTATTTGGAAAAGGAAAGGATGATTTTAGGATACTATGTTAGTTAAATGAGTGTTTTCCTCAAAAATATAATCTCCTTTAGATTTTCGGGAGGGGAAAACGTATTCACAAAGGCACTAACCCTTTAAATACTGGAAGCCTTCCCTTTTCATAGTTCACTTTTAAAGTTATCTTTATCAGAAATTATGTTTACATATAGTATGTGTGCATGCATACATTTGTATGTGTATAATATGCATATCCTCTTGTGTATGGCAAACACATATTTGTGAGGTTTTTTAACAGACAATCTACAGTAATTCACATTTATTTGGGATATGGGCTAAGTCCTCTTTGAGTGATAAGACTGAAAGAAACATGTTGTAGAATTTGTTTTGCTTGTGCATCCAAATAATACAGCTCCTTCCCTCACATATTGTGTTTTCCAATCCATTTATATTCATCAAGTGACAACACGTAACTATTACCTTATTGATACGGGACAGGAAGGTAGCGAGACCTGATTTCCAAAAAGATTCACACACTGGTGCTTCTTATAAGAAACAGAACGATTATCTGAGTGTCAATAGTAATAAAGGAAGAAAGCTGCAAGGAAAACCTGGACTGGAAACCACCACACTCTTCCTTTATGAGGTTCCATGTCAACCAAGTGAATAATCAGGAACGAATGGTGGTAGAGTGTCTTATAGTTCTTTTATCAGTGAAGACAGAATTTATCCTCCCCCATGCCTTGTTTGGCCACTAGAGCTGACAGTATTGAAAATGTCTCTTTTTTCCAAGGGAGTGGTGAATAAGGAGTGAAATACAAGTCTTAAATCTAATTTATTGTTTCAATCCTTTCCAGGCAAGGGTTCAATCATACCTCCTATAGTCCTGGGATCAGGTATACCTGAAAATTAAGATCGCCAATTGTTCTAAATCCTACTTAACTGGCTGTGATTATAACTTAAAAAATATAGAAGCCTTGTAAAATCAGGGCATTTTTCAATAAAAAAAGGAAAAAGGGTAAAAAAAATAGAAAAGAAAATATCTCTTAAAAATTAACCTGTCCAATAAATAGTAGGTTACAAGGAACTAGTTTGAAGGTAATAACTTTTTTTTTCCTTCCCCCAAATATGTTGGCCTATTTGTAGATGATTTAGGATCTTATTCTCAAACATTTACCTTACATGATCTCCATCCTTTTTTAAAAATTCGATGTACCTATGAAATCCAAGATTGGAATCTTTCACTTCTGTTATCACTTAACTTTGTTTTATTGCAATGCCTACATACAAAATATTATTAACTTCACCTATGATTTAGAAAACCAAGCTAGGATTGGTTATTTGTGATTTATATGCTTAGCTAGTTTCTCCTAAATCATAGTCTATTTTACAGAACTTCCACAGATATTTAAATGCCATGCTAAAGAAAACATAAGGTTGGGGCAGGAAGAGAGAATTTGTGTGCCTGGTCCTTTCCTGACATCACATTTCTGTCCAGAGTTGAATTGAAAATTCAGCTTAGTGTGTTCAAGACATGTTGGAAAAAAGCATACATCTGTATTTCTCCTATACATTGTCTCACATAAATCATTTTTCCTCAAGATCTTAAATTTTGCATTTGGTAAAAGACACGTAAAGAGGTTAATGTCAAAGAGGGAACGTTTTCTTGTAAAAAAAGATGGTTGTCTTACTTGGTTTATAAAATATTTTTAAAAAAATGCTAATGACACATATGATCCCCACAACCAACCACCCCTCCCAAAGACAGTCAACAAAATGCCCCATTTTGGTACAATTATTGGTCACTTCATTGTAAAAAAAAATATATATATTAACAACAACATCAACCCAAAGGGGTCTGGCTACTACGTCTTTAGCCAAACGCTGGTCAGAAAAATGACAGAAAAGTCCACCTCCAGCAAAATAAAGCCAGTCACTTGGAGTTTTTGAAATTCTCTCCATCTTCAACAGTATGCCAGATATTCCCCCTTTGCAAAAAAATAAAAAAATAAAAAAAATCCTGTTCTTCAGTCCCTCTTCTATCCCTTGACCCTTGCAACACACTCACACAGAATATGACCCCCCAATTCCCATTTCCCTCAGCAGGAAATGCTGGATATCCAGTTTGTCACAGGAAATTGCTAAGTGCAGCTGCAGCCATTTTGCTTTCTTTCTCTCTTTTGTCAAAATGTGAAAGATCAAGACTATACAAGATTGTCCATTATGAGGAGTGATGAGGCTCACTGGCAAATTCCCAAAGCTCATATTGTTTTAGAATCCATCTCTCCTTGGCTGTTTGCTGGGCTAGATGGAGAAAAAGGGGAAAATGTCTCTCATTGCCATGTTGTTGTTTAAAAAAGAATTTGTACAAAGTCCCAAGCTGGTGGCTAGAACTAGGGGTTGGAAGAGGGATGAAGATGAGAGGGGGGAAAAAGTTAAAGGGGTCTGGATTTTGCTATGACCCCTGTCATCTCTTATAAACAGAGATTTAAGGGGAGGGAGAGAGAAGGGATTATATAATGAAATTCTCTCCCCACGCTATCATCACCCACAAAAAAGGGAAAAGTACACCCCTCTGCTGTTTGTCAGCTATTGTGTACCCTGCCCTTTGTTCCTCTCACACAGTCACACATCATTAATGCAATGTGAGGATTGTGAAGAAAGGAAGTGAATTAAACCACAGTGATTCCCTCCCCCCCTCTGATTCTTCCCCATCCCAGCTCTACAGCTGCAATGTTACTATTATCCGGAAAAACAAAACCGAATAAAGTATAGCAAGGAGGGTGGAAGATGGAAGACAATTCAGTTAGAGTCCGAATCAGAAGAGTCTCCTGAAGAGGATGAGGAACTGCTGCTGCCTTCTGATTCATTGTCCTCATCGTCATCGTCATCCTCTTCATCATCCTCTTCTTCATTCTGGGAAAAGAAGAGGTGAGTTACAGAGCAAGCCGAAAAGTGTTGGTGGTGGGGAGGAAGGTATAAATAGAACAGGAAGCACACTTCCTGTAAATCTGACAGAAGGACAAGTGAGGGTATAGAATCCTGGTTTGTAAGCATCTCAGTATCTATTTGCTGGACCACCTTGTTGCATTGAAAATAACTATTTTAGTCCATACAATTCTACCACTGTTATTCTGATAATTATTTGTTAATGGGACCACTCATTAATAGGCAAAGTTGAGTCAGTAAGGCATCACTACCCTAAAACCTGCCATTCTTAGTTAGTTTGCAAAAAAGGTGTGAAGTGACTGTTTTTTCAAATTGATTAATTGGGTATTTATTTGAGAAATGTTTTTTTAAACAAATAAGTTATATTTTAGAAATGTGGCTTTCTGGAATATTTCAGTTACATTTCACTAAGAGGAGTTTAAACAGAGCCTCACCTCTTCCCCATCTTCACTCTCCTCATCACTACTTGAATCTGAAGAGTCTCCTCCCTCCTCAGAAGAATCACCGTTCTCATCATCATCATCCTCTTCCTCTTCCTCCTCCTCTTCCTCATCGTCGTCTTCATCCTCTTCCTCAGATTCCTGTGGATAGAGTAGATTAAACGCAAACTAGTTTCCAACTGAAGGACAGGTACTCATGGACTACAATGAATTAAATCTAAAGCAGCCAAACATATTCTCATTTCTAAAAGAGAAGTTAATGGTAAATATATGGAGAGTCATAACTTTCTCATTACTACAGTTGTGGCAGTAATATAAAAACAAATTTTAAGTTTCTCTTCAATTAAGCTTAACTGATGAAATTCCTGCTTAATTTGATTCAAATAAGCATGCAGGCATTCCAAGATATTTAGCAAATACTATCACTGTCCTATGGCTGCAACAGAGGATATTTTTTTCCTTATTGCTAATTGGAAATAGGAAAGAGATAATAAGAAAGGAAGCTAGTGGGAATTTTTTTAAAGTGCTCTAATAAGATCCCAAATATGAAAGGTAATAGGGATCTGGTGTACCACACTTTTCTTGCATAATACTGTCTTATCCCAAGAAAATAAGGTTCTGTTCTTATTTGGGGGGGGGGGGAGAGAGAGAGGCAGGGAACTTCTGGATTTTACACTATTTCCAGGATTTTGTTTCTACTTTGAAAATACCAAACGATCTCAGGAATAGCATTCTTTATTTGGAATTTTTTACTAGGCAACAATAGCTGTATAACAGAGACATGGCACTATTAAGATACTTACTGATTTGGACGGCATTGAAGGTTTTATTTTTGGATTTGGGCCACGCATCTTCCCCATATTCTTACGTTTCTGATGAGATAGAAGTGAAAGGTAAGGGAGACGATCAACATGGGAGACTGTACTTTTTTTCCACAAATCAGTCTAAAGGAAGCACAATTTCCCTTACCTACATCTTTCATTGTTATTAATTTATAGCCTGTGACCCTCAAATGTACCTCTGAACATTTACTGTGGAATTTGATGCCAAAATTGATAAAATGTTGAAGACAAAATTAATTCTACCCAAAGATAATGTTTAGCTAGAAAATTATTATTTCTTCCCAGGAGTCTAACATTTACTCTTTACTGCAGAATTTGCCAATAATTACTTTGGGGTAGACAAAGGGCTGTAAAGTAATTGATATTGCTCCTTGGGAGAGAGATTTTCGTGGTTTTCTTTGCTTTTAGCACATCTTAGTTTTTACATGTTTTCTAGCCCCAAATGGCAGAGATTCAGCAGTAAGGATCAGAAGGGGCCTGCAAGAGCCATAATATAGGATCTGAGGACCACGGGTTGGCCACTCCTGACATATCACTACTACCATTTGCCTTAAATTTCATTTTACGTATCTGAAAATTGATTGCACATCTGCTTCTTTCATTTTGGTTATTAAGTCAGCAATTTCTAAACAGTTGTACCCAGTCCACATTATCTCACATTACAGCCTCCGTACAGTAGTTTCTGCTTTTATTCTATCCTAATTTAGTAGCCTCTGTTGAACATGCAGGTGAAAGGCAGCTAGCATATATACCACCTAATTTGGTCTTCCCCAACCTGCTGATGATGGAAGTTGTCCTCTGTCATCTCTAGAAGGCATCAGTTTGAAAAGGGTAACTAAACATGGGAATACCTGAATAATTTATTTGTTGTCTAATGAGACTTCAAGTTTATATTCAGCATGAATGTTCAAAGCAATGGAAGTGTTTAAAACAAACAGCACTATCTTCTAATTTCAGCTTCATGCCAGCCCTGAGCTTGGAAACTAAAAAGTGGTAAGTGGATGAAGTTGCAATGGTTACAAACTCTGCTTGTATACTGGTGCACATTTGCAGTAGTAGCTATTTCAGTACAGCTATCCCCAACGACAGCATATCATGAACATAAGATTATAGTAACTTTGAAAACATTCACCCTCTCATGTTCCATTATATCAATAATCTACTGCATAATGTGGATCCTTAAGTGCCTGGCAGACAATGCCACCTTCCTTGCAGAGCTCCAGCCCTTCTAAGCTAAGTTTCATTTCGTGCAAAAAATTCAAGAAATATTCTTTTCAACACAATAGATATGCAATAAATACTTGCAAAATACTAACACTGGAGGTATGCTCTTTGTAGGCAGCTCTCTCTTGCGGTGACAAGGTCTGTAAAAAAAAAAGAGATGAGAATGGAAAACTAAGATTAAAAGACAATCAGTGAAGGAGGACAGCTGAGGATGAAGGACTTGAGAAATCTGAATTAAAGGTCTATAAAGAACTCATAACTGTGTGTCACTGATAATGGAGAACAGTATTTGATATAGAAGCTAGAAACAATGACTTCATTTTGCAGTTTTAAAAAATTGTATCTGTATTTTATTGTGATTTATTAAGGATGTTCCCTCCCTTCCCCTCCTCCTTTGCCCACTTCAGAACTCACCTTCAGCCACATGTCCAGGTGCACTTTGTATTGTTTTTGCTGTTCTTCAGCCAACTTTTTGTACTGATCCTTTTGGCTCTGAGAGATCCGCTGCCAGCGGCTCCCAATCTCTACCATTCGCTCTTTTAGAGGAAGATGATTGAGTTCACCGTTTGAAAGTAGCTCCTGAGAAAATTTCTGATATCCATTCCTGATAAACACAAGAAACTGTCTATTACTCTAACTTATTTTCCAATTCAGTGCAACAGTTAATATTCAGAACAGGTAATTCATTTTAAACAATTTCATAATCATAGGGAATTAATGCTGGGAAATATTCTTGGCTATCACATTCTAGAGTCGTTAACAAAGTTATCAAAGGTACCGCTTTGTAGATGAAAAAAATGAAGCCATGTAGATTATTAGTGGCTGGGATAATTGTCATATTAATGGCAAGCTTAGTTCTAAGTAAACAACATCTGTTTCATCTGTTCCATTTCCTGACACTAGAAGCTTGTAACTTTCAGTGGTAGGATGATTTCCACAAAGTGTGCAAAACATCCATTTGCTCACCTCCAGATCCTTACAAAGATCTTACAAACTTAAAACAGGAACTGGAAAATAAAATGAGATGCAACAACATTTTCCTATAATTTCCAGATACCTGTTTAAATACATTTTTCCTTCGATCTCATGAAAGGTATTAAGAAGTTTCATGAGATTCTAATTCTGCTTTATTACATTTTTGTAAAGTTGGGTCCTTTTATTGTGTTTTGACTGGATTGTATGAGATTGTGTAGGGGTAGAGTAGTGCATATGCATACAATATATCTAAACTTCAATACAATTTTAGTCAAGTTTCTTTTAAAATTGTTTTGGAAGCAAACTTGAGAAGTTTATTGAATTGAAAACTTGTATCTTATAAATAAAATAAAGCAATAGGAAAAAGCGGACTCCACCCTCAAAGAGTGGATTAATACTCTGCAAGTACTAATCACCCAAGTTACAAAGATTCTCCTGAATTCAGATAGCCCGACATTTCTGTATTCTCTTAAGCCAACACTTACATGGGGGGTTTCTTTGGTTCACCCTGGAATTTCATCTTCTTGGAGGCATTTGTTGAACATGGTGGTGCCCTCATCTCACTCAGTTCTCGCTACAAAAAAGGAAAAAGGAGAATAAATGGCTGCCTTTTCCTTTGTCCTGCTGGAGTTTGTAATGAAATATTTGAGTTTTCAATAAAGAAGTAGCGTATCCTCTAAACAATAACCTTTAATACGTAATACTAAAAATTAAATTTTTGAGTCAAATAAACAATTTAGGTAGGTAAAAACTATGCAGCACATGCCAGCACATGTGCAATCTGAGATCTGGGGGAAGACCCTGATTTTAAGGGCTCTTTTAACAAGATCAGGGTGGGGGCAAGATAGATCTCAGGAAATGTTGTTCCAGACAGTATGTTTCCCAAGTCCTCTCAGACATCATTGCTTAATAAATGAAATTAACATCCCAACTCTGTCAGCTTCCTACATTTCTAAAGAAATGATGCATACTCCAATGCAGTATAATTAATGCCTCATACCTCATATCGTTTTTGATCTTCCGCTGCTTTCTTAATCCACATAAGTTTTTCTTTTTTCTCCATATTATTCCAGGTAGCCTCCATGGCTTTTAGTGCTTTTCCCCTGTCATTCTGAGATGAAAGAAGCAATATTATCAAACTTTGGGGACTATGAATAAATTGCAGAATCATTCCAAACGTCTGGTTCCAACCATTTCAAAACAAAAATAGAATGATCTGTCTTTCTGTTCACAGAACTCATTCATTTAGCACATTCATCCCCCCCGACTCTACGTATTTTCCTGGCTTAACCTCTTGTCTTCTTTGCTATGCTTCCTCTCGATCTTCATCTTAAGTCCCCATTCTGGCATCCTTTCCAACAGACTCCAACAAGTTGTTTTCGCTATTTATAAGGCACCTGGCAATAATTATCCACTTTGAAGGAGTTGTTGGAAGGAGAAAAATGTACATTTGTGCATGCATGTGTGAAGCTAAAATTGTAAATTGGGAAAAACAAGCTTAATAAAGCCTTTGCCCTGGAGTGTGCTATTTGGGCAGGAAAGGGGATTCAGACTGTTTCCTCTGAAATGTGGAAGGGGTTGTTTGCGTCTTTGAGCTGCAGTATCACTTTTCAAATTGCTGTATGAAGATGTAATGCAGTAATAGAATCATTTTTGAGCACCATCAAAATGGGGGCTGTTGTGAGCTTAGTACATTTCTGTTAAGATTAGAAACCCTGTCTCTAATTCAAAATAGCGTTTCAAGTTTGCAACAGGGCATATCCAATTTGAAAGGTTTAAAATTCATGTGTTGTACACTTATTAAAAATGTAACATCAAAATTGATAGATTATATAGAAACTCCAGTCTAAGAATTGTTCCTTTTTTTCCTCTTAAATGTTTTTTTATTTGACATTTTCCAAACATTAAAATCACAATTACACTTTTACAGTGTTCTGTTATCAATATTTCTTTTTTCTGATTTCGGGTTTTCCGTTTTCCATTCTATTATTTTATACATATTCTTCTGTGTTTGCTTTCTCATTTTACAATATCTATCATCTATCTATCTATCTATCTATCTATCTATCTATCTATCTATCTATCTATCTATCTATCTATCTATCTATCTATCTATCTATNTATCTATCTATCTATCTATCTATCTATCTATCTATCTATCTATCTACAATATTTCCATCTCTATTGCTTTCTAAATATATGCTATCTCTTTTTATTGTGTTTGCTATGTGTTTCTTATGCATCGATTTTACATCTCTTTTTAAGCCAGTTATACCACTTGTTCCATATCTTGTAGTACTCTGTTTCCTCTATCTCTTAATTCCATTGTTAGTTTGTCCATTTCTGTTCCTGACTAACATGACCTATTTAGAATTTAGTACTCTGTGAGGTTGAAAAGCGATCTAGTTGAGAAATGTTACCCTTCCCCAGCAGCTAAACAGGACTAATAGTTTGTTGATCTAGATCAGTGCATCAACCTCAGCCAATACCAGAATTTCCCAGCCAGCACGCTATCTGGCGGATTCTGTGAACTGAAGTCCACACATCTTAAAAGTTGCTGAGGCTGACAAAACACTGATCTAGATTCATCTTCCCCTTCCCCTCCTCCTCCAAAATCAAATGGAACCAGAACCAGACTTGATAAAATCTTGGAGGCGTTGTGGAGGAAATCTCAAGGCTATTATGACCATGCCTGTCCTTTTCTCACTTTACCTTAAAGCGGGCAAGATAATCTCCTATAACGCTTTGTTGCCAGATCTCCTCAGAAGTCTTGGGTGACTCAGGAAGTTTACCACGATCTTCCTTGTCAGAACCATGTTTTTTCTCTGTCTGAGCTTTTAGGGCAGCCTCCCGAGCTTTATATTTGGCCTACATAAGGAAAGAGCAAGAATGGCCAAAATCCATGAGTTAACTAAAATTCACTGGCTAGCCAAAAATCAAAAATTAAAAAAGGTGGCGGACTATAAACTCCAATGTAATTAAGCTCTGAAAAAGAAAGTGTTATACAGAAATTTGGGATAAAGGAGGTTTAAACTAGATCCAAAAAGAGAAAATCAGAGCAGATTCTTTGGTTTAGCCCACCATGGCTAACTATCCAGGCAGGATATTGCTGTATTGGGAATGTCCAACATATGAGTTAATTTGACCCAGCAGGATTGGAGCTTAAAAACATCACTCAATTTCTCCATGTAAACTATGCATTTATCTGATAATATACTTAAAGATCATTTGAAACTGAGACTATGAAAAACAATATAATGCAGGTACAATTCCACCAAGTTAGGTAATTACTATTGCTGTAATCAAACTGAGAATATTGTGTTTATCAATAGCACTAATAAAAATACATTCTCCCCAAGACATCAACCTCTCTTCTAGACAGTTGAGAAAAAAGAATGATGACTTTGATTCTTATGATCCAGGACCATGATTCTAAGTCTAAACCCTACTGTAGTGAATTCGTGAAGGTGCTTCAAATTTAAAAATACAGCCATGTGCTTTAAAAAAAAGACAGCTGGATGAAGGCTTGAATTATACAAACCATGCATTAAAAACATATATAGACATTAGATATCTACAAATATTTCTGCAGAATTAAAATTCTGCAAGGAAAGTAACATGATTTATAAGCAATAGCCCTTCACTTTAAGAAAAAAACCTTAAATAACTTTAAATAATTGGTGAAGTCCCACTTAAAATCCTCTGTGCAAAAAGAGACTACCTACAGGACATAAATACTTTCTATGTATGGAGTCTTCATGAATGTTTCCAAGAATAATTGACTGGGATATAAAAATGCTTTTATTTAAATACTTAAAGGAACAATTATAAATATATGTTAATAGCTTTATGATTGTACTCCCCCCCCCCAAAAAATCAATAGAGCATATGTTTCAAAAGTTAAATGTTAGTGTGAACTCTGCTACTTTTCTTCATGTACTGAAAAGATGTAGCCAAATCTGAGTTTCAGTGAAAAAGGAATTTAGATTTATCATTGAATTATTTATAAGATAGATGTTCTGATTTGTTTTGAAGCATATTCATTTTTTCTTTATCGAGAGGTGAAAGTTGAGTTTCAAGAAAAACACTTTAATTGCTGTCTTCCAAAGATTCTATCTGCTTTTAAATTATTTGTTTCAAACCTGGAAAAGTGCTAATGACAGGCTAGGAACTGATAGCTTTTATTTAAAATACTGCTTCCTAGAAAGGTAACACTAAGTTAAATGGACACATGCTTTTATTCTTCTTATATAGAACTGAGTGCTTGATAACTGACACATATTTATGATAGTTACAGCATCTCAGGGTCATGTGATCAGTACTTGCAATCTTCTCAGCTGGTTTCCAATAAGCAAAGTCAATGGGGACAGTCAGATCTGCTTAACAATTGTGACAAAAAAAGTTGTAAAATAAAGGCATGACTTATTTAACTATCAGCCTGTTGAGCAATAGAAATTCTGGTGCCAATTGTAGTTGTAAGTCGAACCTGTATGTTTCCAGGCCACAGGGATACAAAGCTAATTTTAAATGTAATGAAGTCTACAAGGGAAGCTTTATACTCCCAAAATCATCCCCCTAAAATGACATGGATTTGGAAAAAAGAAAAAAAAAAGGATGAATACAAGAATCTTTTCAGTGGCAACAGCCAGTTCACTATGTATTTACTGCTTATGAGAGCAGGAAAACATAAGCAACTAAAACTAGCTATCAAAATTTAAAAGTAGCAATTCAATTCAATTCAATTCAATAGTTTGATGTAGTGATTAAGGCACTAACTATGCTACAAACCAGGAGAGTGTGAGTTTTAGTTCAGTCTTAATTACAAAGCCAGCTCAAATTTCCTCCCAGCTTTAAGGAGGAAGCAATGACTAACCATTTACCAAATCCTGAACAAATACCAGGGCAGTTGCCAGGAGTTAACATTGACTCCAAAGCACCAAAATATGAGCTTAAAGAAAGCAAACTTTAAAAAATCACCCTGCTATTCACTTTGGACTTCCTTGTGTAAAAATGTTTTTCAGCTTAGGGATGAGTGTACAGACCAAATAGTTTGATAAATAGCCCTAGCTTTACCCCAATCCAGCCTCTGATGCATATACTGTACCTAAACGACATCAAATGACATCCCATCCCTCTCAAGCTCAGCTTTTTAAGTGGCAATCAATGTCCATGTACAATTTCCCCAAAGTCTCACACACTTCCCTTTCTCAGACTTCTAAACCAAGCCTCTCTATTTAATAGTCATAGATGTCCTGGGAAACAGTGATTACTGAATACCTAATAGGCTCTGACTGGCCTCATTTTTGCACCATGTGGTACTGTCGAGGTCTGGCTCCATATACAACACCCAAATAGGGAAAAATAAATACATAAATAATAAAAGAGGTAACGCAAGATGGAATGGTAGGAGCGCCCAGACTGTGACGGAGCTTGGTGCTCACGGTTCTGGAAAATCCCAGAACCTACTGCAAGTTTCTAGCAGGTTTTTCTTTTCCTATTTTTTTTTAAGGGTGAGGATGAGGGTCAAGTTCCTGGTTTGATCTAAGTCAACAGAAAAAAAAATCCATGTGACTGAGATATCCAGGAACACATGTTCCCCCATGCCTCCACCCCCAAAGATAATTAGGAGAATGTGCATTATTGATCAAACAACCTTTTTTTTCTCTGAAAGATCATTCCACATCCGCGCCAGCAACCGGGCCAGTTCACTCTCCGACAGTTCGGGTCGCTCCTCCTGCAGCTGCTTGCGTTTCTCCTCCGAGAAGATAAACATAGCAGAAACGGGCCGTTTGGGTTTCTCAGAACCTCCCTGTTAAAGAGCACAAAGGGACTCGTGGTTGTGGAACTTTGCGTTTATCTTTTTTGTTTGTTTGACTTATGGAAAGAGCAAGTTTAATTTTAGATCTGAAACTTTGTTTACTAGATTAACTAGCATCTTACTTCATTAATCAATAAGAGGAAGCCATTTAATACCAGTGAAATCAACTTTTAATTGGTAGGGCTGTAAGTTGAAACAATTTTTGTTTAGTTGCCTTAATGCAATGATAAGTGAAAGAAAAAGAAAAAAGCTTTTAAAAGATGAGTATTTGAATATAAATGTTAATTAAAAATCAACCAATAAATTCACACAATATCTAAAAAGGGTTCCTCTGTTAAGACTTGAGTACATATTTATTTTAACTGATTAACAGTTACTAGATTAAAATGGAGAAGATTGATCATATAAGTTTTTTCCAAGTTGGCTGAACTTTTTGAGGAATGGTGGCATCGTATTTAGTAATAATTTTTAAAGCAAGTCCAGCAGCCATTTAAAATGAAGTCTTAAGGCTGTTTTAAAAATCAAATTAATCCCACTGTTTCTATGTAAAAGTATATCCATATCCACAATGAAGGGCTAGGTCACCCACCTTGCTGGCGTCTGGTGATGACTTCTTAGAGGCAGGGCTGGTGGCACCTTTCTTATTTATTCCCAGCATTTTTTCCTCTCCCAAAACCCTCTGTTGTTCTTCTTCAGGCAGGCTCTAAAAGATAATAGCAGTTTTTAAGAGTTATAGAGATATTTGTCATTTTCCCTGCATGGCAAATTTCAGTATCAACAGAAATCTCTACATCTGCCTATTCATTTCTTCTGAGAAGAATAGCTTCCCAATAAGGTACTACCCTAGTAGTACAGGTAGTCCTTGTTTATAGTGACTGTCTCAGACAGCGACCATTCAGTTAGGGCAGTGATGAAAAATAACTTTGTGACCAATGCCTGCATTTACAGGAAAGCTGAAATAAGATTGTAAACCCAACTGTGATTTTACATAGTAACCACTTTGCTTAAGGAGTGAGTTGTCAGTCCCAGTTGTGGTCACTAAACAAGAACTACTTGTACAGCATCTACATTGTCGTATCTTTTTACCTGTTCTTCCCTGCCTCGGAATGAGGAAGCTCCTCTGAAAATCACTGAAAAACTTAAAAAATATGCTGAAGGGACAGAAAGCATGAATGCAATTTTGTGTATATTATTCACAATCTTTTTCAGTTATATGACTGAGGCTCCAATATATAAAAATTTGTCCACACATGGAGATTGCTAGACTGCATTTTGAAATACAAGCTCAAATATTTTGAAGAAATAAGAGTGGCACAAACACAACTGCAAATTATTAACTCATATGTCCCTACTAAAAAAAGTATATTCAGTTTTGGCCAGAGAATATTTGAGCTGTCACTATGGTCCCTGTCAATTTTTTTAAAAACTATATCCAATTTAGTGGGCTCCAAATACCAAAAAGACAATAACATAGGTCCTATACAACAAACAAAGAAGTTTTCACAGCTATTACTCACTGTTCACTACTATCCCGTCCTTTACCCACTTATACTATTCCTGCTGCCACTTCAACCACTACCCCTTATGAACTCTCTTACTCCAGGCCAGTAGCACTACTAAACAATTATCTGCTTCACTTCAAGCCTTAAACACTCCTCTCCCTTACCCATCTGTCTCTAAGAACAGCTTTTAAAGCCAATGATGGGGAGAAGACTTAAAGAAACAGGACGACCGCTATACAGGTGCTGTTCATTTTCTGAGCAACCTACTCTCCGAGTCTCATTATAATTAAAAACAACTTAACCTTGAAGAGTTCAAGAAACCAGTAGATCATTCCCCATCCTATGCTAAATTGAAATCAGCAAATTGTTATAGTGATTATGATCTAACCAATGTCAAGTTTTTTCTAAGTTTAATTCATTTAATTGGAGATAGTTGAATATGTATTGGTGTGCTATGGGTGATACTCACCTCCAGGAAACGCAAAAGCTCAATTTCATAATCTTTTTTTCTCTACAAAGGAAAATAACAAGAAAAAAATATTTTCGGGGTATGCCAAATGGTTCCCATCTCCTTTTCCTACCTCCATCCCTGAGTTGTCTCTCTAAGCAAATTGATTTTCCTGATTCTTACAAGTTTGTAAGAAATTAGTTTCTAGAAATTTTAATAGAGTACTGGATTTGGGATCAAATATTTACTTGACCTAAAATAGTAGCTCTGAAACACTTGAAGAATGGAAGTCCTCAGTAAATACAACTGTTTCTGCACTGTTTTCTGATTCCAGAGGGTAAAAGGTGACAGTACAATGACTAATTTAATGTACAGGAAGAATTCACTCAATTTAAAAGGACTGCCAAACAAAAAGGAAATAGGGCATTAGTTACAATTTTTTAAAACAAGGTCAAACAACATGATATACTCCAGGTATTCTGGACATATATTTTCATCTATTGATCTAGCATGACTATTTACAAAGTATTCTGTGAGTTGTGATGCTAGGCATTTTTGGACATTATGTCATTGTCCTATTTTAATATGTATATGATGGCAAGTGTACATGAAGTGGGGACTATTTCCAAATGATATTCTTTAAATTATGAAGTTGAGTCTTTTAAAATAAAAGAGCTGTGATTTTACTCCAACCCTCAAGCGAAAATTTCATTGATGCTTTATTTATACTGTAAGAATCAAACAGGCAACTAACAAATGGGAACTTTAGAAAGTTAGGGGCTATCGCACCTACTAGTCCTTCCTAATTGTATCACATCTTGTAGCAAGAGAGCAACCTGCTTGTTCTTAAGAGCACTACTGTTATATGCTGGTTGGTTACTGGAAGTCAACCTCCACTCCAAATGTAAACCTGGAAGGCTGCAATGATTGACTGATATCCATCAGATTTCAACTGGAATAATATTTGTTTAGTAATGGGCACTGAAAATAGGATTAAGGATTCTATTAACACACCAGCAACAATATTTACCCATCAGCTTTCATACCCTATATATTAATTGGGAAGTAGCTTGGGGAATACCCACAGTTGGCAACATGGAGATTTTGAAATTCACATGGAGGCTGACGTTTAATATGCTTCGTGATTTTTCAAATCCTTCATGACAAGTAATGAGCCTGTCCAGCCAGAAATATCTGACAGAATTAAGACAGAAGATTGCCCCAAGAGCACAGAACAATTCCTTGCATCAGCTGTTCTATATCAGTCCTCTTCCTTTCCTTTATTGTAAATTGATTACTATTTGAGATTTCAGGGTGCTCAGGTTTAAACAAGGAACCACTCTCAATCCTGTGTCAATAAAGCAAGGCCGAAATGAAGTCTAAGATAATCATAATTGATGTCGGATGATTAGCCAGATAGGTATTAGCTTAAACACATTATGATAAATACACAGTATATTAAAATGGCCAAACCAAGCAACTGATTTGTGTTTGTACTGTTAATTATTTAATTCAACTGTAAAAAAAAAGGTAGAGAAAATACTCAGTTTTTATGAGGAACCAAAGGAAATGATTTTATTATGGAGAAAACTAGGTTGCATTTTCATCCTATAATAGAAATCAGATATAGAAAGCAAGGAGCATATTTGTGATCCTCAGAGTCTTCTAGTTTATATATAGGCAAACTTTCCAGTCTTTTTCTGGAAGAAAATTTTTGGGAAAAAAAAATCCTGCTCTGTCTGTTTTTGGGTGCAGCCCTCAACATGTTAAGCACATCTGATGCAGCTCAATAGCACACTCCTGTGCTACAAACAAGATGAAACTTGCAGTGACTAATTCTGGGGCATCTCATAAAAATGGCTGCCCTTCCACAAAATGGCTGCCATGAGGGACAAAATGGCACAAAATCACCGAATGGGTGGAATGGATACAGGTAGATTTTTAGTGTCATCAAGTGCTCCTTGCTATATGTTGTTTTCCTGGCGTTTTTGTAGAGACTAGAGACTTTCTTTGAAATCAGGAAGAAAAGTATGACTTTGAGGCCCGCGCTTTGCTTTACAGCATGTCTGTCTCCCTTCTGCTATTTTAATAAAACATTAATCTAGTACGGCTGAGGACTGATAGGCACCCAAAGACATGCCTTTTAATAACATTACATTAGCCAAGGAATTGGTGAATCACTAGCCCAACTAATGGCTGAGATTTTACACATTTTATTTATTCATATTTCATGTAGTAGCATGCAGTTTATATGCACCCTGTAGGGACAGAAGCTTATTTTCTTTCTGAACAAGGGACTAGACTTCCAAAACAGTAAACAGGACTATCATATTACATTTCTGGGTATGGATAAATACAATTCTCTATCAAAAATAGGATAGCCAACTGACCCAAAAATCAGGAAGCGGATTTATTATTATTTATTTTCTGGAAAACATTTTTAATACTTGCTCCTCCAGCTCTGCTTACCTGATCACACTTTTTGTGGTAGGCATCCTTTTCCTTTTGGGAGAGAAGTTTCCACTGCTGACTGCAGAGTACCATCCGTTCTGTGCTTGGGACATCTTTCATGTTTGCCATCAGCTCAGCACAATACAGCGAATAACTATTTCTAAAATAGTAAGTTTATTTTATGTAATACTGTCCCATTGAATTAGTACTGGGTATACTCTATACTAACCGATAACAATCAAATGCCTGTGACAATAATTCTGTGATAATTCTTGCAGAGAAATTCCTATTCAGCTACAATGTTCACTTTGAGTGGGGATTCTCATCAATCATTTAAAATAGAGGCGCATAACTTGTAGGGAATTCAAGTCTCCACAAAAGCCTTGAGTGCCCCATCCTCAAAAAGATGTCAGCGAATTAATCAAACAAGAGAATTGCTAAAAATCTAAAGTACATTGTATACTTAAGTACATCATGTTAATTCATTTTTTCCCTAATCCCATTTCTTAAGACTAGAGTTTCTAATATGTCACCCACTTGGCACATTTGTCCTAAACTGGAAATGAATATTGTAGCTTGGGGGACAACTTATGGCTCTCCGGCTGTTCTTCTGTGACCTCTGAACCTCTGACAATAATTGAAGAAAATGGGTGGTGTGATTTTGAGATAAAAATTTTAAAAAATGTTAATATAAGCCTTAATATTAATACCTTGCAAGTAAAGAGCTCAAAATCCCACACTCAAAAAACCCATCCCCATTTGCAACATCAGTCTAGCTATAGTAATCTGTAGCCTCTTAAAGCACAACCCTGCACTTCAAAATCATTTGCCAATCGTGAGAAGGCAACCTTGGAAACAAACCACTTGTTAAGTAGCGTCATCCATCCCCACAAGCATCAGACTAACAAAGAGATAAAAATTATTAATTTAATACAAGCTTCTTTTGCTTGCATAAAAGCCACAACTTTGGATGGTTTACCACTGACTCAATATTGCAGAGGGGTTTTTTTTTTAGGTGTATTTTTCTCTTAGATTTTTGTGAGAGCATTGAGTTGGATCTACCACTGAGAGGTAAATGAGAGCTAGAAAACTACAAGTAAGAGCTGGGGAATTAACCTGCAGAAACACAGCAGGATAGTTTTATTTCACCAACATATCTTTTCTACAAACTAGGACTGAATCCCCCCCCCCAACTCCTTGCTTTCACAGCAAAAAAGATTGAGGTTGGCAAATTTATTCAAATAAAATTTCACCGCAGAATAAAGCCGTGGAAGGAAATGAAGAATTGGATGATTTTAAGTAACCTTTGGCTCAGGGACATCAAACTGGTGGCCTGTGGGCTGCATGCATCACATGCAGGACACGCCTACCCCAGCTCCACAAATGGGAAAACATCACGACAGCAACGTGATGTCATGAAACATCACATGACAGCAACGTGATGCAGCCAGTTTGACACCCGTGCTTTAGCTAGCCCAGTGTTTTTCACCCTCAGCAACTTGAAGATGTGTGGAGTTCAACTCCCGGAATTCGCCAGCCAATGTCTCATGATTTGAGAGTAACAGCAGGATAAGAAAAGGAGCATCTCTTACTATATTATTCACCATCCTACAACACTATATAAGTGATGGTAAACTGTCCTCCTTTTAAATACACAAGTATTTAATACCCATCGTATATGAGAAACAATGGGAAGGGGAACAATTTAGAGAAAATAAACATGGGCTCAAATAAATTCCTCCGGATTCGGTTTTTAGCCTTCTTCAAACTGCACTGCTGTGAGAATAAATATTTTGTCCCCCTTAATGAAGGAAAAAAGCATCATAATGACAGCAGGCTGTGTAGGTGTAAAAATCTGCAAAATGCTTGGCAGAATGTTATGATGCAAGCCCTGCCTCTTGTGTACCCACCAACTCAACACATTTTTACTTCCTTGCAGATGCGAACAACCGCAACAGTAGGCCTCTGTTGGCAACCGAGGGAAAAACGAGGAGCCATGTTGTGTTTGTGAAGATAACTGACATCCAGGTGCTATACCAGATTCTACCTGCAGAGGTCAGGGTTTGAAAAGTTTTCTCATTGCACTCTTTTATTAATGGTTGAAATGGCCTTTTATCTTTTTTTAAGCTTTTACCTTCAGTAGTTATGCTGTGTGCCCAAAATTATGACATTTTTCTAAACTATGGTTTTGTGATCTGCTTTACATGTTCTCGTTTGATTGTACGCCACTTACTGATTAAATTGAAACAATCAAAGTTCAAATTAAAAGGAGTTCTTGGTTCACATAATTTAAATATGTTCCAAATTATTATTGTATTTCTTACTGATATTTAGTTGTTATTGACTTCTGTATGTTATGAGATTTTTCTACTGTAGCAATAGCATACAATTACTATTACTTCTAGTACACTGAACCATAACTTAATTGGGCAGGCATGACACATTGAATCACAAAAAACTAATCAGCCTTGTCAAAGATAGTGACCTAGTTAAATGTGTTGAATGAACAGAGCTAGTATGTGACATGCTAGGGTAGGGATTTGAGCCTATAGCTCTTTTAAGTTCACCTCCAGGTTCCTTTTGCCACATCAAATGGATGTAGAGAGAATCTCCATATTTTACCAGTTCTAGGAAATATTATGTGGAAGTGCTGCTGAAAGGGAAAAAGGCCTTCCGATGACCACCCCAACTTACGGAGGGGGCTTGGTGGGTCGCCCATCAAACTTGTCCTTCAATTGCCTCTCTGCTTTTGTTAGTGTGGACCGTTGTGGTGCCCCCTCCTCAATGTTCATCTCTGGATGCTTCTGTATGTAATCCCGCATCATTTCCTGGAAACAACAAACCCAGAGAGTGATTAAAACAATACAGCCACAAAGCCTTGGGGACAAGCCCTTCCTAGGTTCTAGGATAATGAGGTGGGCAGAAGAGAACCCATTACTTAACTCTGACCAATTTCAACTCTGGATGGATGAAGCAGAGAGGGTGTTGCTTTGCAACTACCTTCCAGCTTAGTAAATGGGAGTGGCACCCACAAATCGGCTCTCGGAGCGTGGCTGGGTTTGGACAGCCGCGACAAGGCCGGGCTGAGCATAGGGGGGAGAAGATGGAGGGGAACGGTGTACTGTTCCCTACCTCATACTCCTTCCGCTGCTCCAGAGCCTTATGAATCCATTTCAGCCTTTTTTTGTCCGAGAGCTGAGACCATTGCTTGCCCAACGCTTCCTTCACCTCCTTCGTGGTGGCCTGAAAAACCCAGGTGGGGAGGGGGAAATAAAAAAAAAATAGGTACAATGGAAAAAAATGGGGGGAGGGAACACTGCCCACCCTAGTGGTACAGCAGTGAATTACACTAAACTTTGGAAAAGATGTATTTTCTTTTGTGGTTTTTTTTTTAAGTATCTTTTTTCTTGATCCTGCAAGGAAGCAAAATATAACTTGCTGCATAATGCATATGCAGAGAGGTCCAATATGAAAATTCTGAAGAATCTTTGTTTTGGGGTTTAAATACACATAAAAAGGGTTTCAGTCCCATCTAGGCCATTTATAAAGATCTCATGTCTTTGTTCTCTTTCTACTCTTCGCTTTCTAACCAAAAGAAACATGGAAGACTAAACTTTTGGTCAACATTATCTTGGGACGTGTATATTTGCTTTCATTCATAAAAGAACTGTCTGAATAATTATAATTATGGAAACTTAAGTAAACATAAACAAACACTAAGAGCAGCATATCACACTCACAGTTTCTACACACTTCCAAGATTGTCCCTGCCACGCCTCCAAGAAAGATGGGAGTTAGTGACCCACAGGTGTTTTTTTTGTAGTAATCTCTGTTTGGCCTCACTCTATTTCCCATCCTAACAGAATAATAGAATTGGAAGGGGTCTTGGAGGTCTTCTAGTCCAATTCCCTACTCAAGCTGGAGACCCTACATCATTTCTGACAAGTGATTGTCCAATTTCTTCTTTAAAATATCCAGCGATGAAGCACCCACAACTTCTGGAGGGAATGCTTTACAAATCTAACAGAAGCCATCTGTATGTGTGATCTTCATCATCTTGTAGCCATGAATTCCATGGGTGACAATGATTTGTCTATCCTATATATTTTGTGTATCATCTCTACTAGATGACTTTAAGCCTTCTTTTTTCCCGAAGAGAAAGTAAATCAAAAGCTGGCTATGCTCTAAAAGGGCACTTAGGGATACTTGAATGGGTAACAAAAAGTCCCCACCCTGTATTAGGCTATTTGAAGAAGAAATATCTGAACATTCAATGGCTGTTGGAACTGAAAAAGCTGTAAATCCCTAGAGTCAACCATTTGTATTCACTGCCCCAATTTTTGCTCTTATGATGTTGTAAGCCGCTCAGAGTTACCTGACAGTGAGACAGGCGGCATATACATTTAATAAATAAACAAATATTTGTCAAGATTTATTTCCCCAATCTTTCTTTAAGTTTCATAGCTTTTTCTTGATGCTTTGGCAGCCCTCTCAGAATCAATTTTACATATTCAGCAGAATCAAAAGACAAAGCTTTTCCTGAATGTATCATTTCCTGATGTACCGGTAGATGGGGGAAATGCTTTTATCTGAATGCTTCATTTATTTAAAAAAGCAGGACCCCTCTGTAGATAAAAGAAAACAACATGAAGAAACATGAAGCTGAACATTTTCATTTGACAGACTATGGTCATATAGCAAAATGGAAGTTTTCCAATAAGAAGAAAATGTTCATGTGTGTGATTAGAATCCCAAATGTAATAATCCAGGAAGGCCTTTACTTTCTGCTCGCATGTAACCCAGAGCCTCAGCTGATCAAAAATTAAAAGACATAGCTTTATACCTAATTCCCCCCGCCCTGCTCTATTTTCAGAAATAGCCTTCTACACCTCCCTCTCTCCCTCTGTTCCACTGCTTTCTCTCTGCTCTCTTTATTCATGCCTCCCATGCCACCTTCACCTCAGACTTATAAATGTAGAGCTACTTACATCAGGTCGGACTTTCAAGTAGATCTTCTTCTCATGAGTATACCAGAGCTGTTGGGGGGTCTTGGGCTTTTCTGGGATATCGGATTTCTTGGCATTCTGAATGAGGTCAGGATGGTCTTCCCTTCATAGAACAGGAATGGTAACAGGGGATTGAAAATGTAAGGCATAACCATACTGGAATTAATAAAACACACTTTCATATAAACCTCTCTAAGGCCCTACATACCAATCCCCATTCTTGAATGCCAACAAAGTCCCAGATTGCAGGATGAATCTTCCCGTAGGAGAATTTTATTTTCTCTCCACAAAAAATATTCCCTCACAATCCTCCAAACTTCAAACATGGCCAAAGAAGGGACCTCTGACATAACACCAACATTTGACCTTGGTGCAAAATTCTGAAACCTTCTAACACCTAAGAGCAAGACAGGCACATGGCAAAAAAAAGGTGTGAGACAAAGGCTCACTGTCTACTCAGACATTCTTGGAGAATGGAGATACACGAGTTTCTGAATTGAATAAAAACATTTCACATACACACACGAAAACAAAACTACTAGCTGACAACGAAAGCCAGAAAGAGAGGAGTAAACTAAACAAACGGATAACAAAATGATCAACAGGAACCAACCCAGCAGCTGTTATGCTAGATAACAGGACAAATTTTCTACCCAATCTCTTATCAAGAAACATTTTGTAGATATAAATGCTCATTAAATCCATTGTTTTTGTTTGGTTTTTTTCTCCTAGAAACCAAGAACTTAATTACACGCTACACAGCAGGAAAGGCAGCTCTCTTCAAATTTGGGGAGGATGATAGCGATTGCGTACTGTAGAAAATCTGGCTGGTCTACATTATCCTTTCCCAATTTTTTCTCCTCCTCAGATGTTGTGGTCTACAGCTAAGTATGTATGATCACTTATGTGTCCGGAAATGAAGTGAATTATAGTGTAACATCTTGGGATTCAACATATATCAGGCTGGGAATATCTGCCTAGGTAGATCTTTGATTTAATTCAACATTTGCTTAGATGAGTGCTTGAAATGATCACACAGACAATTCTACCTGCCTTACAAATATATAAATTTATAGACTTAGTTATTCTATCTCTAGTTTAAAAAAGGAAAGTAGATTCCTGTGCTATATAACATACAACTTTGAAGGCAAGGAACCTTCCAGAGGTACTTATTCTTTCTACTCTCTCCTTACCATCTTCTAATAGAAGTAGCTTTCACAGTAAAGTTCAGAAAAACCTCCACTAAATGCGTGCAACTGAAGTCTACAGCTGAGAAGCCTTAAAGTGCTCATGGACACAAGCAAGGCATCGTTGCTTAAGGTCTCTTACCTAAATCTTGCCAGATTCCGCTCAAAATCTTGTTTCTCTCGTTGGAAATCCTGAATATACTTCATCTAAAAAACAGGGAGAAGAGGAAAAATACTCCACCGCTGCTATTTATATATGAGGTAGCCAGCTGTCACACGCAAGCCCTCTCACTGGGGACAGAACTGTCTTGAGTCTTTAAGAGCGGTGATTAGAATGCAGTTCAGGCTAAATCTGCCAACTGCCAGCAGTTTGATTCTCACCGGCTCAAGGTTGACTCAGCCTTCCATCCTTCCAAGATCAATAAAATGAGGACCCAGATTGTTGGGGTTAATATACTAACTCTGTAAGCCGCTTAGAGAGAGCTGCGAAGCACTGTGAAGCGGTATATTAGTCTAAGAGCTATTATACTGAATATCTACTTTCTCTAATCCTATGTTCTGAAATTGCAGGTATTGCACACGTGTGCATGTGTGTATGCACAAGATACCTATCAAGCCTTCCACAGGGCTGTTCTTTATCTCTGGAAATGACATGAGAAGTTCAATTTCTTGGCATGCAGAACTAAAGCATCTTGGACTCTTCTTAGCCCAGAGCTAAGAACTGTACAAATTTTAAATGCTCCTCTGGAATCTTTGCCTCCAGCTAGCAAAGCCCATAAAAGTTAGATTTCGGCACATTTGCATACACCAGAATGTTATCTTGCTTTCCATTTAGTTATGCAGAAATTCAGATAAAGGAGGTGTACCTTCACAAAAAGGTGAAGAGTTTACCGCTTCAGCACTAACACTGTGCTGACCACACTTGTATATTTTGTTGGTTTCTGCATTTCTCTTATGATCTGGAAAGACCTCTGTGTTATTACCATTTAAAATAGGAATACGGGAATTATAGATCTGGAGTTCCATGCAACCTATTTTTAGAGGTCTCCAGAGTAATAGGGCCAACAACAAATGTTGATTTCCCCCCCCCTTTAGGGCAGGGGTCCCCAACCCCTGGGCAGCACCCTGTTACCAGGCCGTGGCCTGTTGGGAGCCGGGCTGTGTAAGCAGAGGGTGTGTGCAGAAGGTCTGCCTCTGCACAGTACCATCCCCGCGCTCCCTCCGCCACCACTATTTGCAAGTGCTAGAAAGGTTGGGGATCACTGCTTCAAGATTTCTTTTTTGTAGATGGGTAATTCTGTCTTAGCGACTGTCCAAAGTTATGACAGATCTGCAGAGTTCTGATGGCCACACACCCCTATGTGATTATTTGACTGCATTATGGGCATTTGGCAACCAGCTGACATTTACAGCCCTTTGCAGTTTCCTCCACTGCCACAATTTTCAGTGGATTTTGCCAGTTTCCAGCAAAAAATGCCCACAGGATAAAATGGATTTGTTTAATAACTGCATTGTTCACTTAATGACTGCTGCCTGCTTAATGACCACTGCAAACAGGCCATAAAATCAGGTGCACTCATGTAATGACCCACTTAATGACTGCCACAACTTACAAATATAACTGGGTTCAATTACAGTTGTTAAGTTAAGGATTACATGTATAGGTGGATATTAATAGACAAAAGTGTCACCTTGAAGATGCTTTAGACAACTATTTCACACTTGAAACCCTGCCACCCAGAAAGAACTAAGCAATATATCAGCTGGTTTTTGAAATGTGGAACTTACCATGTTATACAAAGTTAAAATTGTTCACAAAATGTCAGGTGGTGCTAATTCAGCAAGTGCCTAGAGTCAAGTTACTTTGACAGAAAGTCATATAAACATGCCCTTCACATGCCCTTTTAAGCTCAAGGTCCTAACAATCTGCAGCTACTCTAAATAACTGTCTAAAGAATTGTTGTATAAAAATTATTTTGTGGTTCTGTTTTGCAAAGGTAGCACATTCACAGAGCACTTGAGAAAGAGCACTTCATTTTGCACAAGGCACACAAAATATAATTCGTAGGTATTAATTTCCCCAAGGGAAAAAATATTTACTTCTCTCTCATTCGCTTCCTTTTTTGCTTTTATCTGATTTTGCTAGAAGCACCAATAAAAAGGAGGCTTGCTGTTGGTAGGCAAAACTGCTTATGGAATTATGCCATTCCTGATACCTTTCACCACATTCTAAGTATGCACTGCTCACCTTTTTCTTTTCGGGGAGTTCCTTATATTTTTTTGAGAGAATTTTGGTTAGATCCAAGTTGCTCATCTCTGGATGTAGCTTAGCATATTTTGCTCGCTTTTCCATGAAGAAACGGAAATACGGAGTCAAAGGTTTTTTGGGAAAGTCAGGATGCTTCTAAATAGTGGAAGGGAGTAAGTAAAGAAAAATATTTTGAGATGATCTCTTTCCACAAATAATGGAAAAAAATAGTTTACTTAATCTTACTTTTATTTTGTTTATAACATTTGTTTGCTGTGCCAAATATCTGGAGTAAGGTGATAGCATATTTAAGTAAGCCACATAATTGAATTCAACCATGAAACTCCACTCATCTTATGAAAGCTTTATTTGGGCTTATCATCTCTATCTGATGAGACATTAAAATGGGGCTATTTCTTGAGACATATAAAGAATTAGATTGTCTATTTTGCCATAGTTGTTTGTTACTGTTTTACACTGAAGCACATGAACTTGGCAAGAAAGGCCAGCATTGAAGCTTATCACAGTCTTCCCAACCATGCATCTCTCTGTTGGCTGGAATTATAACTCCCCCAGAATTCCCAATCGCTTTCCAACAGTTCTGGAAAATATCAGAAAAGGAAAACCCACTCTATGTTTTCTACAACAACTTGCCCGCAACTTGTACCTTTAATTACTAGTTATTATTGTGACATATTACTATTATTCATTACCAGTAGTTTTCTCTCCTTTCATTTAAGAGTGCAAAACACACACACACACACACACACACACAAATTCTACTGTATATGTAGTGTTCTCTCCTCTGTTTTCCTACCACAAGAACCTAGTGAGGTAAGTTAGCCTGAGAGAGACAGTGACTGGCCCAAAACCTCCATGTAAAGCATGTGGCATCTCCAACTGTAGAAAGACCAAGACCAATCAGTTAGCAATATCAAACTAAATGAACAAATCATCCTGGCATAACATAGTTTCTATATTCAAAATGCAGCACTATAAACCTAAAGGCATATTTAGAATCTTGAGTTTAACTTTTATCATTAGCAATAGTGTAAGAAATTGGAAAACTGTTCTGCTAAAAGTGTAAAATTAAGAGGTTCTGCATTTCCCCCAACAAATCATACGAAATATTGATAGAATATGTATTTGCTGTTCATCTGAGGGCTGTTCTTTTTCCAGATGACAAAGCTAAAGCCCAAAATGTGTATGTGTTTATGTGTTTGTGTGTAGGTAGGTAGGTAGGTAGGGAGAGAGGTAGAAAGAGAGAGAGAGAGAGAGAGGGGGAGGGAGGGAGGGAGGGAGGGA